CTTAGAACTATTTGCTCTTTTGTCAAGACCAAGAAGGTTTAGTAGTCGGAAGAAGTAAATTATAAGAAATCCCGCACATTGGAGGCGGAACATCTGTCTAGTTGTCCCTGGTTCGAAAAGGGAGGCTAGTGTCCCAATAGCCCACCAAAAGCAAAGAGATACTGTAGGAATCTGATCATTTTCTTTATCACAGAGCATTAATTTCGCTAGAAAGGGGATCCAGTAGACCGACTTCCTAGGACTTTTCCTGCGCGGATGTTGTGTCAGATGAAGGCTGGAGCCTAACTTACAGTGCTGCATCTCACAATGTGTAAACGAGCTGCAGGCGGTGCTTAGCACCTTTCGAAGCGTTTCGATGCTTTGCTGTATATGATTGCTTACTGTTACATACATATTCTTTCAAATCTGGGGTCTACGATTACCTATACTACGATTACCTATATGCGATACAGTATATCAAATACGTTAAAGCGATTTCAATTATTGGGACTTAAAGCACATTATTTATTATTGGGACGAACAGCACAAATGTTGATCAATACAGCATTGACTTAACCTTTCTTTAAGGAATTTGTAACGGTATATATTTTCTGATCTTTTAGCTTTCACTTACCCTTATCACCAGAATTTGTACATCAGCCTAAAAGAAACCGTACATTTTGATCATAGGCCTACAGTTTCACGAGTATTGGCCTTCTTCTTCACCAGTTCACTGTTACTTTATCTCCAGGGGTGTATTTATTTTTTTCATTCTCCAGACAAGCTCGTCCCACAACAGTAAAGTTCACTTCTAGCGAAGCTAAGGCATCAGCGTAAAAGCAATTTGATCTTCTTTCTGTTTTAAGCAATTTAGAACAGTGAATTCAGTTTTGTTGTCTTATTACAAAACTAACCCTTCACCGTCAACTGTCTTTCCTGAGGACAGTCTAGTGTTCTAGTGTATGATGCACAGGTGTGGAAACAACGACACAGTAATTAAACAATTTAGATCATTTCTGTTAACTCAACATTTTAAGTTGCTGTCACAGTAAGATTATTCAGGGAATGATTTATTATTTTCTTCAGACTATTTCTCATTTCCTAATCCCTTATAAATATGAGGATAATAATACTGTACTGGTAATTATTTGAGAGGATTATAACCGATCAAATAATTACTAGTACAATTATTATAATTTTAATTATTTCGCTAAAAGGACAACACTTTTGTTGTTATAGGCAATGATAAGACTTCTAAATACTATTTTGTGTAACAACGGATAAGCAATCTAATTAATTCCTATACATGTCCTAATTTAAGGGGACAAATGTCAAGTTTGCTGAATTGATCGTTTTAATGGAATTGCACTTACCTCGCCGAACGCTGATAGAGGATAAAAGCATTTGAATGTTATAGTCAGTTACGCAATTCTGCAGAGTGTATGTGTACAGTATGTTGTGAACAAATCGTACAACAAAAAGTGACGAAAATAAACTTAAAGGTTCATGCTACACTACAACAGAACATGCATATACCGATTTACAAAAATATGTATTTATGTTGTATGTGATATATTATTTCTTTGTGTATTATTAAACCACGTGTGATAATCAATTTTTTTAGGATGTCAAATCATTGAATATGGATTAACGTTAAAAAATGTCTGTTTTAAGATTGAACACAAATGTTTAATACAGTAAGCGCGCAAGGTGCCGCAAACGTCTAAAAAGTAAAACGAACTGCAAACAAAACAAGCTTATATTAAATAAAATAATATAAACAATATTTTATAAACTCTCATCACTTTGTTTTTCGTAGATCTTATTTATAATCCATACATTTTTACAATCCATAAAGACCAGATGTGATGGACACTAATAGGCTTATTTAGATCTATGTTGGATATGTGTACTGTATAAAAAAAAACATAAATATTTACAATGTATCATTTATATATTACAAATATTTGAACAATTTTATAATTCATTTAAGGTATTAAGCAAAAGAGTTTCGAGAGCCATAAAATATAATCAAGAGGAGAAATTCAGGAATGTTTCACCTTAAAAGACTATAATAGGTGACTTATAAGAAAATAAAAGGACGTGTCTACGTCATTCACGGAATTCCATAAAAGTCCATCACAAACGATTTTTTTAGTTCATTAAACAACTGCTCGGGAAGCTTATAAGATATCTCTGTTTAAAAATAATCTTTGTAATTTGACACAACATACAGTATGTTACGGTGGGAATTTTCGATAACTAAAGACGAATACAAATATATATATAGCCTATATTTCTCGATACAGAAAAGGATATTTGCGTTGTTCTTGTGAAACCAGAAGCTCCTTCACTCGTCTACCTTTGCGTCTGTTGACCTAAATTAGCGTGTAATGAACACACTTACTAGACAAGGAACTGAACAATACGGGATTTTCTACTTAATCAATACAGTGCTGTCAGCTTACTTGGACTGAAAGCAAGCAGCCCTGCCCAGTATCTCCAACCTCAATAACAAACAGCATCCTCTACTGGTGCTCCACTCGCCTTCCTTAAACCTCCGTGAGAGGCGCGATTTAAACCTTTGTAATGACTCATGGTAAGGAGGCCCAGCCATCCTTTAGAAAGTACTGTCTGCATGAGTTACTAATGATTGTGGTGCATCCAATATATTTATTAATCCGGCTCTTATTAAAATGTCTCCCGCGGAGTCTGCACAAGTGCGCTATAAGCTTTAGTAAGAATTGTAAAAGAAAAGCCCGATAACTCCGCGGTGCATAGCCTACTGATGTCATTCTTATAAAAGCAGTTAGTGATACAGGGGATACTGTATTCGTTGTACTGTCTCGTTAGTGGGATTGCACGCTCTTGTATGTGCAATGGATATAAGGCTTTTAAATATGGACTAGGAGTTGTAGTTTACGAGTTGTAGGAAAAGGCCATTGTAACTATTATTTACAAGTTAAAGTCTGTCATTCTAGTGGTTTGCGAATATGACTCTTCAGCAAGATAAACAGAATGATGTTCTATCCAATAACCCTCACAAAATAAAAGAACAATAAGAAAAGTTTCACGAACAACAGTATGGGCTGCATATATTTCGTTTGATAATTTATTTTGTAAGGTTCTGCTCCATATAATGAATGTTCATTAGAAATAAATTTTGCATGCCATTGATTGTATAGCGCATTCTACCACATGAACAACAAAACGGAATAATCTATTTGCAACACACTTGATAAAGGATAACAATACAATATTTGAAATTTCCGCAGAAATCAACAATCATCATCAAGATGTGAAACTCGTGGAATGTTTACATTCATTAATAACAGACTGTGTAACTGAGAGCTAATCAAATAAGTTCATGTGCTTTTTTTTTGCATGTACGACGGGTAATTTTTAAAAGAAAACTTGCGTGTTTCTAAAGCACTATCTGCCATAGTTCTAACAATTGTCTGGTAATCGTGACAAAACTACAATTGTTTAGGACAGGATATGTCGGCGAGTATACTAAATTAGTATCAAATTTGAAATGTTCCAAAATAAAATGTTATTAAAAAGCAAAACCAATTAAGCCGTTGAATTGAGAAAGTCACTTACAATTAATTAAAATCGCAACGAATTACAAGCCTCAGAGCGTAACGCAAAGATTGAATTAATTTATTTTTAATGAATGAAACAACGTCGGCCTGTCTTAAACTGTATTGCATAATGTTATTTAGTAATATTGTTTCTAAAGACTAATTCAGAGACGCAATGTAAACGTGGTTTTTGATTAACGGAAACAATTTATTATTCCTCTACCAGCAGGGTGCACAGTGCACCTTCAGAAAACTGATGAACAATTTCTAACACTACGACTCTGCTGTGCATCCGGTGAAAGTGTTACATCTTTTAAATTCACATCTGATTAATTAAATATTTACTAGTTCGGTGGGCTGGCTGAGTGGTTTTCAATTTTGAAAGAACATGCTGATCTAATCTCGGAAGTCTCTAGACATATAGTCACTGATAGAAGTAATTTTATGCCCTTTGCAATCTAAATTTATTATGAGCTATTCAAAAAATATTTTATTTGCAGCCCGAAACAATTTTGCCACTCAGGTTGTAACTTTAACTTAAGATCTTTCAATATATTTATCAAAGATGACACATATATATATTATTTAAAATATATTGGATATTTGACGTTAACGTTCTACGACAAGTGTATCGGAAGCTAATGATTTGAAGATAATGAACACAAAGAAATTTTGAAAATCATTTAAAAATTAAATGACAGAATACATAACACTACTATTATCACTGATGTTGCAAATTTACTAAAGCAATAGAAGAGTTTACACCTAAACTCTATCTATTCTGTATAATGTATACTACGTTTCCATAGAAAAGTCTACAGTGACTCAGATTTTTTTAAGAAAAGCTATCGGACACTCATGGTCCTCAGAATTCTTTTCCTTCAAGATTATATTTTAAAATCGGTCAAATAAACCCCAGATTCAGAAGATATTCAGAAGGGGCACGATAGCAAAACCTGAAGCAGATAGACGGTACTAGTCTTGTCATGAAACAGGTAAGATGAAGTTTGCTTCTAAGGCTTGAGAAGTTCTCCTTCAATGGTTTAGTGAAATAAATATTATAAAAACCCTAAGAACTTCATTTCCAGATCCCCCCCACCTCCACCACCACCCCCACCACCCCCGATCTAAAAACAACTCGTAGCGTGATACTGTATCAGTGCGATAAAAAGGAAGGTTTATAGAACTTCTGTGTGTTTTCCAATTTTCCATTTCGCTTGTATCAAAGCTTCACTTGTGAATTATGAAAAGAAGAAATCAAACGTTCTTAGTGAATTCTATCGGAAGTTGCTTATCTTTATGTCATCAAGGAAGATGGGGTGTGGCGCTTTCTTCGACAAATAAACATTTCTGCAACATTTTCTTCTTTAAATCATTTGCTTGGTTGTGAAAAAGTCTTCTTAACAACTTGCAGAAGAAAAAAAACTTTCATTTTCGTTTTATTGTTTTTTTTTAATAAAAGTGCAATACATATGAACCTGCAATACACATTTTCTGCGAGATTCGGACAGTTACAAACGTAAGCATTATATAAATTAAGTGTGAAAATCCTAGAATCCAAACATTTTAATTAGCGTAAACACTGGGGAGACAAAACACTTTCTACTCATTATATTACAAATGTATTTTAATTTAAACACAGCTATTTTCTTTATTTGCATGTTAAATCGGAACTTCTTTTTTGTAATTCAACCTTTATTTCTTCGTTTTAAATGGGGCTTTAACGTTTTTTTAAGACCCGTGGGGCATTTCTTATTCTTAAAATTCTTAATAAATTATTTTAATACTATTCGTGGAGAGAACAATATACTGGAAGCGAAGGAGTCATAAAAGTGTTGAAGCCACAGCCGAGAAAGAAAGGCTAATGAAATTCAGACTATTTCAACTGCCGTTTCTTACGGTAAAAAGTTGTTCAGGAAACAATAAAAACCTGTTGTCATCGCAATTCACAAAACCACCAGAAAACAAATTTTAACGATCATGAAAGAAAGCGGTTAAATGAGAATAATTTTGTCGTTGTGGTGTTCTATACAAAATATTTTACACATAAATATTCACAGTAATATCATTTCTATTTAGTACAACTCACGCTGTTATTTACAAGTATCCCCGCAGGTCCCTCAGTCCAGCCACAGTTATCTGCAGTGCGATAATCACAACGCTTGGATCGCCATCCCGGGCGACCGCTTCTGAGATTGAACTAAATCATGTAAAGCTTCTTCCCAATGTATTAAAGTCCTTCTTCCTCCTGTTCGTCAAACACAATAAAAATACTGTACTCATCTTGATTTGAAGAAAATAGGCCGCTGCTCAGAACAACAGTTTAGTGCTAGGTTTCCTTGTCTTAAAAATTATATTCTACTTTTTTCGTTCTACGAACTCTCGTTTTCGGACGTGTGGATGTGCAGAGAAGGGTTAGGTTTGTGTTTTTTAAGTAACTGAGTTATTTTTTCGTCGTCTGAGTTGGGATCTAAGGGCTTGTTATATTCGTCATCATCGTCCTCGTTTTCCGAGGCTCCCTTCAGTCTCTCTGTTTCCGAGTCCTGCTTCTTCTTCGCCGTGGCCATCTCTGCCGCGTGTCTTTTCCTCCACTTCGTCCTCCTGTTTTGGAACCAAACCTGAAGAATATGTAAATAAGCACATTTCCTTTATGCATTTTACGTGTGAGCTATGGAATAGCAAGAACGGTAGCTTTGGGGCAAAAAAAAAGAAGTGCTGTTATAATTTGATATTGTGGTCTCCGGGAATGTTAAGTACGTATGGTGTAAATACTGCAGTGTACATATGACTCCATTAGTCTTAGTTAAAATTCTCCTAGTGTTATAAAAACATGGTATTCCTTTTTTAATCAACATACTAAGCTTGTATAACCTTTCAACACGTGTTTATTAATGTAGGAAACGACCTTTTTAGTCTGACATTACCACGACAAGTGCTATAGAGATAATCATTTTTATTTACGTTTGTTTTACAAATGTAGAGCCGATTGTGTAAATCCGATTTGCGACAAGAAAGAGTGGAGTTAAAATCATAATACTGATTGAATATTAACGACACATTGCATCTTGTTTCAATTTGTACTACAAAAGTTGGTCAAGACGTGCCAGAACATTATTAATAACACCTTTAACAAAACTGTCATTCACAAGCGTTTAAAAACAGTGCGTCGGGTAATTCGAAAAGTGCTCAGTGCCGGTTGTGCTCGAAAACTGCAGCTTTTTTTAAACGGAAATCAGCCACACGCTGATCTTTAAAATGTGAGTTTTAGAAGTAGCATCGTCGTATCGTTTACTTTTAAACGAATTTCTTTTGATCGAATTAACTCAGTTTCTAATTTCCTATCAACTAAACCTAAAGCATTTAGATTGAACAATAAACGACAGTATTTCTGAAAACGTGCGTAAACTTTAATAAAAGATATTCCACAGGAAAAAGGCCGAGTGACCTGAAAGACGGATATATGTGTGTGGGGTACCAAAGCGGATTGTGTTTTTAATCTCAGTAATGTGTGATCTTCATTCTCTTATCTAATGTTTGACAAGATAATCTCACCTTCACTTGACTTTCTGTCATCCCCAATGAATAGGCCAGCCTCGCTCTCTCAGGCCCAGCTAAATATTTCGTTTGTTCGAAAGTCTTTTCTAGTGCAAAAATTTGCTGGCCGGAAAACGTGGGTCTTGTGTGCTTTCTCTTTCCGTCTTTGTCAAGCAGTACAGAACTCTGATCTGAAAAGGAAAAAAATACGACTTGAGTTATTCAACAGTCCTACTTTGTTAAGGAAATATATCAATATATTAAAAGGGCCCTTTTAGTTCGTTTCCGTTGCTATGTTTTAGTAAGAGAATTTGACTACTGCATTACAAACTATTCAAGATTCTTTGAAGAATGATGATATAAATGCCTAACTCGATTTTCGTCAGTGAAAAGATCGATTTAAACATACCCCTGTAGTTTGACAGTACACAGTAAGTGACAGCTTGGATAGCAGTTAACACATGTAAATATAAATATTGCCGCAGCGAAAGCAACAACAATTGATATTTTATTACACACTTATTAATATTGTAGCAATAGGCTACTGTTTAAATGTAGTACATGTTCAATCCTCTGAATGATGTAAATTCACTTAAGCATGAAGCAGGACTGACTTTATCGCTGTTGTCCTAACAGTAATGTAATAACGTGAGAAAATAAAATGCTTAACAATAATCATCATTATTGATACCAGTTTTAGTAATGATACAGCGGTATCTATTATTTAGCCTAGAATTAACAATTTGTAAATTGCAATCTAAAATGGGTAGAACATGTTCAACTTACGAGGTGAGCAAGCAAATCTGGCATCCCTCCAAGGTGCGCTCTGCATGACCCCCGGCCAAAATATAGGGGTTCTGCCCGGGAGATCTGTTAAGGGTTTGGGATAGCGAGCCACCGCCACTGCGGCCGCGGCACTGGGGCTGAAGTATAGTCCAGGAGGCGGTGGGGGGCTCAGGCTGCTGAACCGGGGCAGTCCTGTGAGAATCCCGGCGGAGGATGTCGCGGCCGCCGCAGCCGCAGCCCCTGCAGCTCCGCTACAGACGATCGAGGGACGGCTGAGGATGTCGTTTATTCCGTGGGGGGTGGCGACCGAATACTGCTGGGGTGATCCGAGAGAAGAGAGTGCAGCTGAAGATTTGATCCCCGGGGAAGACACGGGGATGCCTCCCGGGTTCGGGGAGGTGGCAGACGGGGAGGGCGATGAGGCAGGTCCGTTGGATGTCAGCGGATAAGCGGGGTAAAGTGGGGTCTTCATTTCGGTCATGCTATGCAGAGCTGCTAAAGGAGGGGTACTCAAGAGGAAAGCGCTCTGACGGGTGCCATCCATCTGCCCCACGGCTAACATAACCGAAAAAATATTTAAAACTCAGGTCGAAATTAAATTTAAAAATTACCTATTCCTGTACTAATTCAACAGCAATAATTATGTATATATTCAAGTTAAATGGTCCTTCACGAATAAATATATATCAGGCAATATACAGAGAGCATAATCTGAATGTCAAGTACTGTTTCAACTTGGAGCAAAAAAAAATCCAAACCTTCTCATGTAGCTTAAAACACGTTTAAGTCTAAATTAAAAAACAAATTCCTCCCGTGTTTTTTTCACGTCCCAGAAGTCCAGTATTTGTTGTAACCACGACTTTTTTAGGCATCCCTACAAGTGACGGAGTCCGATCTCTTCTTTCTTTAATCGGGTAATACTTGCGCTCACGGCTTTCGACTTGAAGACATATCCAACGCTCCTTGCTTCCTTACTTCAAAGGTAAAGGCAGGTGTTTTAAAACGCTTAAACCTCTATAAATAAAAGAAAATCCTTTTTTGGCCACTGCACACGGAGGTCCTGACTGTAATAAAACATTTTCATCACTTTCTACTTGCTTTTGCCGCAAAAGTCAAAACTTTGGGAATGTCACTCAGAAAGTCGAGGGGGGAGTTTCTATTCCTATTGGGTGACATCTCCAGTGACGTTGCTTGCGTATAATCCTTAAGGACCAAATGATTTTAGTAGCCGCTCTTATTGGCTCATTTCAGGGCGCTCGTTTGCATATTAAAAGAGTTGCAATTGGACTGGCTGGTTAAACACGTAAAAAAAGGGGGACAAAATCAATCTAGTCAATCTGGGATCTATTTTGACAAATAAAAGAACATCTGCCTTCATTTGTCAGAGACGAAAAAAGACGATTCTTTTGATAGTATTTAATTTAGCAGCCCATTCCCTCTTCCCCTGCTTTGGTTAAATACATCGCCCTGAACAGTTTCCAGACTTTCTATGAATTTGGTTCCAAATAGTTGTCAAAGATTAGGTCAAATGAACTTGCTGTCCGCTGAACAAGCACAAAAAGCAACGCCATAGATGATGAACTGGTGTGAGTCACAGGCCCGTATTCATAAAGCTTTTACGTGGCGCAAATTTTACCATGCGTGTCCTTTTTAAAACAGGATTCGCTAATTCCAGATTTTACGAACTGTTCAATCAGAAAGCTAAAATATATGTCACTTTCTAGCTTTTGATATCAACTGTGGACGACGGCAAAAACTTTATGAAAACAAACCATAGGTTTATAACAGCAAACTGATTCTTTAAATTGGCATTCTTTCATGGCAATAATATTTAGAGAATACGTTTTCGCGGCGATGTTCAAGTGCGGATGACATCATTTTCCGTATATTAATAATAGTTTAATAATTATTATTTGTTCTTTACGGGTTTTTATGTATGTAAATTATTACAAGAAATCTCCAAAATCTTTGAAGGACTATACAAATTTTAGATCTTGATTTATATTGTTGTTTTGCAATTCATTACTAGTTTATTACGGTATAATATTTGGATCTACGTTTTTCTCATCATTTCCTTTCAATAGTACTAGTTGTCGAAGACAGGTTGAAATACGTTGAACAAGACTATATCCGAATTAGACTTTGTACTTGATTCAGATATTTTATTCAGCAGAACACAGTGTACATCCCATATTTTTAATTTAATATGACAGTTTTGGGTTATGGTCTAACCTGATTATATTTAATACGCGGAAACTTATTTCCCTAGGAGCTTGTCGACACACAAATAAGTCGTTGAGAAAGGCTAATTTTAAATTTTAATTTTAAAATTAATATTATTCCCTCGCCCCCGACTCAAAACAATCGTTTCAAGTCTGTTTTTACTACATTCAAGCTTCATTAATCAACTAAAATAGTTAATAGTTTCTCAGATTCGAACAATAAAATAACTAATTTACGAAAAATAAAAACATATATTTTAATAATTTAAATTATTATTATTATATTCTTATACGTTTCTAGTTTTCAAATGGGTATTTTGAACAAGAACTTATCAGTTGTAGAATGATGTAAACTGTTTTGACTTAAAAATACCCTAAAATGAGCAAACTGCTTAAGTTATGTTTTGGATGTGCAAAAACTCATCAACTGAATAAGTTATAGAATAAAAAATCTGTTATAAATGAATTCTGGTCAGCAGTGGATGTAAAACCGTATCAGCATACATTTAACATTATCAATTTAACAAAGCTCATTCAGCATTCTGTAAAAAAGAAAAACAATGAAGACCGAACCATCCTAGAGTTCCATTTAAAGTAATAATAGCAATAGCCGTAGGAATACACATGGTCACGCTCCTAAACTTGACCTAGGTGTCTCAAGTACAGTACACAACGCCTCTCACCGCAACACTGTAACCTGTACAGGAGCGACATCTTGTGGATTAACACGGTATAAACGTCCAAGAGCTGCAGGCAAACTAGAAATCGTTCCTCAAAAGAAGAAGTG